AGAGAGAGAGAGAGAGAGAGAGAGAGAGAATGAAAGAAAGGGAGAGATCAGCGGAAACAACCCCAGGATACAAGAGGGAACAAGAAAGGAAAAGGCAATATGTGTCATAAGGGGGTGGAATCAGTCGCTCGTCAATTTTTGGGGATGTGGAGTTATTGGTAATATCTGAAAGCTTATTCATTTGCCTTCCTGTCAACGGAAAAAAAATCCATCTAACTAGAATAGAAGTTGAGATATTTGCGATTGAAGAAGGTGGGGTAGCCTTGTTTGACTGGTTAAATTAATGAAAAATTGGCCACCAAAGTTTGATAACTTCAATAGCCTTAGAGTCCTTGAAAACTGAAAGTAACATATATTCTGCCGTTAAACAAGGTTTTTCAGTAAAATTCAACTGGAAAATTGTTTTCATATGAAAATAAAAACTTCGATAAAAATTGCCAAACTGATGGAAAAAAATGCCCTTTTATTCAAATTCATTATTTTGACGAGAGCCATGATGCCTCACATATTTGACTAACAACAACAACAAGAAGAGCGCTCTTGTGCAAGATCGTCACTAACAATAACAATAATTTGCATATGTGTTCATTAAACTGAAAATACTCTAACATTTGCTCTCAGAAAGTGCCATTCTAGATTCCCATGTTTGCGAACGGGCTAGCATTTGCGTGGGGACATCAATATTAATTGATAATCTAATAGTGTAACGAACTTCCCTTTCTCCCTCTGTAAAACGTAAAAAAAAAGAATGTTCAGGGCATGGAGAAAAATGAAACGGAACTAGATACATTAACGGCAGCAAAAACGATAGGAACATATTATTATTATGATGTTAAGACACCTATCAAAACAGAAAAATTTACAGAGTGTAAACCCCACACAGAAAACAAATCTCAATGTCTTTACGTTCCCTGAAACAGATAACAGTTTGTGTCGCAGTACATAGAAAATGTAAAATGAGTTTCTAATTCAGAGACAAAAAAGCGAGTGACTTTCTACTACAAAGAAAATTATGAATGAGTTTCTTTTACAGAAAAACTATAAATGAAAGAAAAGAAAAGGAGGAAAAGAAAAGGAGGAAAAGAAAAAGAGGAAAAGAAAAGGAGGAAAAGAAAAGGAGGAAAAGAAAAGGAGGAAAAGAAGCGAAAAGGATTAAAGGAGAGAAGAAATAATGAGAGTGGGGGCATTACAGTAATAACAGAATCTTCACACGGAACAGAGAGAAAGAGAGAGAGAGAGAGAGAGAGAGAGAGAGAGAGAGAGAGAGAGAGAGAGAGAGAGAATATTTATAGATTGACATATAAGATAGATAGATAAAAAGATGGATTGATAGATAGATGTATAGATAGGTCGATCGATCGATAGATAGATAGATAGATAGATAGCTAGATAGATAGATAGATAGATAGATAGATAGATAGATAGATAGATTGATAGATAGATGTATAGATGTATAGGTAGATAAAGAGAGAGAGAGGGAAAGAGAGAGAGAGAGAGAGAGAGAGAGAGAGAGAGAGAGAGAGAGAGAGAGAGAGAGAGAGAGAGAGTGCAACAAAATGAAAAACAACAAACTACGTAAGTCCTGACCTTTCGCTCAAAGACTGCACAACAACCGGGGTAGAAAGTATAGTCCAAATATTGTTTCTCCTACGCTGTCCACCCTTTTAAATTAATAAAAGTCCAAAGAGAATTGTATACACTCTGTGAGAGTCTAGTCCACGAAAAGGTAGACGACCGCACCAATAGTCGAGACAATAATACTATTTTGGCGACGATAAGGCTGAACCTGTGACACCCCCTCGCTCCTTCTGGGCGCTCATCGCAGAAAAAAAAAGAGAAGAACAAGAAAAAAAAAGAGTAGAGAACAGAAAACCCCCGCGAAGCGATCCACGCGCTCTCTTCGCCACAGCGGTTACGGGAGAAGAACGAACGCTCAGCGCATGCGCGAGAGAGGTGTAAAAGGGGGGTAGGGTGTGGGCGGTGCGGGGGATGTATGAGATGTGTGTGTGTGTATGTGTGTGTGTGGGG